GAGTTTAGAAGAGGAAGTGATGAGAAGATAAGTTTATTTTCTATTTAAACATAAAAACAGCATTTTAATAACAACTAATAACAACTAAAGGTGACATAGATACTTTATTATGGTGTAGTATTTAAATATATGCCTGAGAAACACATAATATTTCCCCTTTAATGGATGTTAAACAGGCCTCTACAGAATTTCAGAGCTAATTGAATCACTGAATCAGGTGTGTTCGAACAGAAACTCAAGGAAAACATGCAGGATAGCAACCCTGCAGGACCTGAGCTTGACACTCTTGTTCTCTATTATATCCAGACATTATGCAGGTATTTTAAAAGAAAATGAAGTGCAAATCACTCTTAGCAAACACAAAAAGCTATAACTGTCAATTTTACAGCTATTGAGCTAAGATTTGGCGTGGTTGTAGTTGAGTCGTCTTCAACAATAACTCATCATGAGAAAACTTGCAGCAAAGTTGTACCGAGCTCTTCGGATGATCCAATGATCCCGAGATTGTCCTGCAGCCAGCGAACCACAGCTCCCGCAATGGCCACAGATCCCTGGCAACAAGCAGCAGCAAAGGTGGGCCATAACGTTACGAAGCATTTGTAAATACGTTTGCATCACTTTTATCGGAAAAACTGTACCTCCAGAGCGTAACAGGCGGGTTTGTCTCGACCAAGTTTGTAGGCGACAGTGGTGAGCAGACCATGGTCGGACATAACGGGCTGCAAAGTAATAGCCACAACAAAAATACCCCCCTGTAGGTAAATCTGTGCTTATGTTACTTTAAGACATAATGAAAGAGGTAATGCACCTTGGATCCAGTGTTTCGCAGAAGAAAGCAGCCGGTCCCATACCTGAAACATAATAAATCTGAAGTTTACTGGGTTTCTGATGAAGAGGATTTTGAACATTTACATGTAAATTTAAACAGGGCAGAGCGTTCCGTGAAACGTTAACTAGCACCTGCTAGAGTTGGGCGCTATTAGTAAAAAATATATATAAAATAATTCAGAATTAATAATGGTATTTATCTGATAACAATTAATATGATGATTAACCTCTTGGAGTCCTAGTCACATGACTGATTTAAATCACTGATGCATCCTCTCTAATAATTTAATTTAAGTTTAAAAGATTTCAAACTTTACATCAGTTTTTAAACTGTGTTGACAGGCCAAATAAAACCAGAGTAATGATAAATAATTCAGGTCACTTATTTTTTCTTTAAATGTTCATCATATTTGAAGTGTGTTGCAGCAGGGGGAAGCTGAAAAGATGGGCAGATTCATGAAAAAAACACCTCAGTCCTCCTCAGTCTTTGGTCTCACCCCCACCCTACTGAACAAACATACCACCCCGATGAATGATGGAGAGATGTTGAGAGTGGGAATGAACAATGAGATTTCAGAGCTTTATATTTAACGTGGTTTGGATTTATAGATAGGGTGTAGTTTAGTGGGTTTAACATTTAGTTTTGTCAGTTTTAGTGTGTTTGAATCAAAAGGAGGTGATGTTTGTACGTGGAGCTGCAGCTGATTGAAACAGAGGTGGAGCAGCTGATACACAGATGGAAAAATCAGTCTGAGATACTGGATTCGTCTCAATTCAGGGGTTGCAGCCTACGTAGGGCAACTTTGTTTCTTGCTTACGTCACAGACTGTCCCAATTCGTAGGGGCCTATTCATGTGGCTAACAAATTCTGCACAAAAAAAAACATGGGCTGCATCTGAGCATCCTTCATGGATATCCCAGGATTTACTGCATCATCAGCAAACTAAACAGAAAAACGAAGATGATTGAGTTGTTATTTTTTTTTGTTTGTTTGTTTGTTTTTTGTTTTTTTAAATGAAGTTTGGAAATTTATCACGGCTGAAGAATTTCTTTTTAAATGTAAGTTTGAAAATGTAGCTGATGATATTTTTGCTGCAATGAGATGTTCAATAAAATGCAGTTACAAGTACTGTTAACCCGAAATATTAATGTTTCTTTTGTTCATTTTACATGAAACTTCTTTTTAATAATACYGGATTTGTGAAGTTATACCTCTGTGAAAGACAACTAAAGACAGGTCATATAAAACATATCCATACATGTCAAGTTGTGTGGATTGTCTGAAATTTACAAGGGTTTTCCCTAATTTTGCAGGTATACAGATGTATAGAGTGATCTCGCAGATTTTTTTTTAAGTGTTATGGATTTTTTTCTAAAACTCGGTTTTAACTGTATTTAACATGTTGGAGCCAGTAGGGCCTTAAAAAAAAAAAAAAAACAAAAACCATCAAATAGCCGTCTTCCAACCTGCTCTGCTGCAAGAAATAAATTCTCCCGTCCTCATTTCCTCCTGCCCACATGGGCAGCAACCCCTGATTTGGGCCACAGCTAAAGTGAGGACTTGAATGAGGAAGTAGGCAATCCATTATTTTGTTTTTAAGAGGAAAGAGTCGAAGAGTGCCAAGCGGACAACCGGGGTAATCCCTGGTCCCGTATGAGAGTCCGCCGGCAGCACTAATCATATTAATCACCAAGTGCAAAATATCAACCACTGAAATTTTCGCTTACGATTTTGTCCAATCCTAGCATCTGTTGCTTTTTATGCTGGAGTTCAAAACAAACAGCTTACATTGAGAAATTATGTAGTAATGGGGATTTTTATGTAGGTTGAAGACAACTGGCTGCAGTGGCCATAATGAATTACTCAAAGTTGCAGATGTTCATCCAATGAGGACAGAGCAACAGATCGATCACAGAGATTGATATCACCCCTGATATGGTCATTTTGAACACAGGGGCACCTCAGGGATGTGTGATTTCTCTGTTTATACGAATGAGATGCCACTTGTATAAGTGCACAGACGACATGGTGCTCATAGGGCTCATGCAGTCAAATGACTCCGCAAAACAATCTCCTCACCTGAATGGCATTGATGAACTCATTGAATGGTGTAAGAACAGTGATTTATTTATTAATGAAAGCAAGACTAAAGAGCTGGTGGTTGGTCAACACAATGTCTGTCACCAGTTATCACCTGTGTTTATAAATCATCAACCTGATGAAGTGGTTAATGAGTTTAAACATCTTTATTGATAGCACCTGGTGTTTTTCAGCTAATGTAGATTACATTTTTTTTTATAAAAAGCTATACAGCATATGTATTTAATTAGGAAATTGAACACATACGATGCAAGCCAAAGTATTTTAAACACTGTATATGTTTTCACTTTTAAACATGTGCACCTGGTATGGACACCTGCAGGTGAGGGAAAAAAAATAGACTGTCCAGAATTATCAGCATGGTTAATAAGATCATTGGCACGAAGCAAAGCATGCTGGGAGAATTATATAAAAGGCAGACAAAACAAAAGGCCCGACAAATTGCGGGTGAATCCCGTTTTGTGAATTTGTTAAACTTCCCTCTGGAAGGTGATACAGGGCAGTAAGAGCAACCAGGAACTTTTATAAGAACTCATTCATCCCAAATGCAATAATGTTAATTATTAACCAATTGTGCATGTTTTGTGAGTGTTTTCTTTTTATCACCATGGGAAGTGACCAAAGTCAAAATTCCACATGTGGACAATAAAGATTATTATTATTATTATTATTATTATTATTATTACTCATTCATGAGGTATTTTGCTAACAGACAAATGGACAAACAGGCAATATTATTTATCTCTTGCCTTTCAGCAGTGATAATAAAATAAAAAGCCACCTACGTGTTTTTAGCTTGACCGTCCTGAAAACACATCTGTCCAACAAGAGCTGCCGACTGATCCCCAAGGCACTGGTAAGAAATAAAAAGAGCACTTGTTATTTATCTTCTACATGTGCAGGTGAACATAATAAACAAAATCAAATGATAAAAAAACAACTTACCCCTGATATGGGAATACCTGATAAAGCTCCAGATTTCTGTCACAAGAAAAAGTTTAGATTTCAGAAAGCGGCCATCTTTTTCTCTAATTACTTTCTAATTTTACCAGTGTTTCTTACATTTTATTTACTTAGACCAAACTTCTAATCTAAAATGAGTTTAATGACATGCATTATTTTCAATAATATCAAAACATCTGCAGTAATTTGACAAAAATGAGTGCAACTACAACCAACAATGACCACCTATTATTTGACTATATGAAGCCAAATAACACAAAGAACTACACTTCTACCAGCATTTCGTTTTACAAAAGCATACTGCAACAATGTAAACACATTAAAGGGAAAGAAAGAGAGCGAAAAGTGTGAACTCATGTTAACGGAAACGTCTTCACTCCCACATGCAGCTTTGGTTAGACGTTAGAGTGATGAGTAAAGAAAACTCTGCCAAAAGAGTGAAGAAATTTAGGAGTTGTGTTGGCTGGGAGGCCGAGGAACCAAAGATAACCAGCCGAGCAGCATGCTACCACAAATGCAAAAAAACAAAAACAAAAACAAAACAAAATAGTCCCATCATGCAGTACATTTCCAGCAGAGAATATGTCTTCTGTGTACAAAGCTTAGATTGTAATCTGAATGTTTTACTGTTAGACTATCATCAGTAATAGATGTTTGTTTTTTCATGCAGCAGGATTACAGAATTGATTGTCAAACTGTTTGACAAGTATCGGATGATTTTCTGTTTCATCAGCTCTGAGCAGGTTGAAGCACCACAGCTACATGGCTAATCTGCATTATCATGCCTAATAAAGAGTGCACAATAACACGTCAAAAGACCCGATTAATCACAAACTACTAACCAACAAGTACCACAGATGCTAACAAAGTGCTGAAAATCCCATTGCAAAGCGAACATAGTTAGCATTGTGTTTATTACTGGTTATTACTGATTCACAAATCAATAATTTTCAAGTCACTAACAAAGACTTTTATGTTGCGATAAATGTAGCCAATATTTACAGGAATTGATTCTTCAGGGTTCAGCAAAGACAAGAAAAAAAAGGTGTAAAAATACACAACTTTACTGTAGTATGTTTCCAGTACAGGAAGTTACAGTAACTCTACCGGGACAAATAAAGTGGCAGCATCGATAAAAAATTATAGATATTTGAAGTTTGGAAACTGATTTAGATCTTCCACAATCTTAAAACAGATTTTACCTCCAACCCCTAATAATTACAATATTTTTCAGAGAAAGTAAAAGAGCTAAAGATGCTGAAAATGCGATTTTCTTTTTTTTCGTATGCACTTCTCTTAAAGGCACAGTGTGTAGAATTTGTTGTTTTCAGCGACATCTAGTGGTTGAGTGGTTGAATCATCCTCCCTGGTCCTCCCCCCACCCCCACCCCCCACTTCCAAACACAAAGGAGTTGCTACGGTGTCTCTCAGGTGTCAAAAACCTTTGATAATTCCAACCGCGATGTCTACCAGCAGCTTCAGGGCTAGTGATGTTTCAAGTGGTAAGATTATGAGCTTTAATAAGTAAAATTATCCCAGCTACAATGACAGACAACAAATATTACATTTATAGTATTACAATTAAAACTGTTTTTGACGCCGCCACCGCAGTTTGTCCTTCATGAGCCTTCGTAGACAAGATGGCGGCTGCCTGTAGGGTGACCCGCGACCATGGAGATATAAACAGCTTTTTATAAGGTAAAAATAATAAAACAAGGTCTTTGTCTGCAATGATTWGACATGTTTTTTTTATTATTATCATTAGTGATTATCTCAATTTCGGCTAAAAGACTTGACAAAATCCTACACACTGTGCCTTTAATTAAATGACAGAGAGCTATATTGGGGTTAATGAAGGAGATCTACAGTTTTTTGTTGCTGGTGTTATTGCTGTTGAAGTATTTGTACAAAAAGAATAATATATAGTGTATTTATGAGAGAAAAATTTTTATTTTGGTGCTGTTTTAAACAACATTTTTTTCTTCATGTAATTAGGAGCATTTCAAGTTAGAAACAAATGCCGTTAATTACTTTTAATGAGAAAAAAAAATCAAACAATTTAAAACCAAAATCATCAGGTGAGACTAAAAAAATATTTTTTTACAAATCGGAAAAGGGAATCTGCCTAGAAAAATAGAATTGGTGCATCGTTTTGCAAAAAATACAAAATTAAGTCAGAAAAAAATTGTCTAGAAAAACAGTGAAGAAAAAACAAACTGTTGTTGACTCGTGTTTGAATTTTCTGCACACAACTTGAAGAAATAATAAAACTTCAGCTTTCACCTGAAGCTTGGAAATGCACTGTTGGATGGTTTACTCATTTTGGCCAAGGGAAAAGCGGAAGAGTTTTTTTAATGATGATGATTAAAAACAGTGATGGTGAATAGCACTTACCCGGCTAGAACATATTTTCTACCGGTGAGAAAAGAGAGACAATGGCACACAAAAATGCCTAAAGGAATTTCTCAATCAACTTGCATGCACTTAAAAACACACTAACCAAAATTTGTTTTAACATTAAAAAACCAAAATTAAAGTCTGTGTTATCTTTTTTAGTGGTTGACTCATGAGACATTACACTCATTACACAAAACATGAGTCAAACTAAAATAACATGATTTAAAACACAAATATTTGAATTAAAGTGTCCAGAGAAAACTCATTCATCACAACTTACCATGAGACCATATATTTCTGATGAACTCCTCACTCTGGGCAAAATCTCCATAGGTATACCAAAATATCTGAAAATTAAAGCAGAGAAACAATCTGTCAAAGTGAGTCAAATTTGCTTTGTTCAAGCTCTGGATCAAAATAAACTGTTGGGACGAACTATTGTACAATTGAAGTGGTTCAGAACTACCTCCTGCAACAACTCACAGCTGTACCGTTTCCAACTCTTCAGTAAAACAGTAGCTATTGGCTGTCCTAAAAGCCACTAGAGGTCACTAAATAAAGTCAGAACAGTGAACATTACGTCCCAGTGGCTTTCAAACCCCAAAACACATTATGACAAAGATTAGTTCACCCCAAAGATCCAGTTCCCCGGCAAAAACAGAGCAATATAGTATATGCTGTTAAGTGTCAGGAGGACTGTGATCAGTTATACATTGGGGGAAACAAAACAGCCACTGTTCAAAAGAATGAACCAGCACAGAAGAGCTACATCATCGGGTCAGGACTCTGCAGTTTACACTCATCTACAGGCCAGCGGTCACTCTTTCAGGGATGAAGATGTTCTCATCCTTGATAGAGAGGAACGTTGGTTTGAGAGAGGAGTTAGGAAGCCATCTTTGTGAAGAAAAACCGTCCACCATTAAACAGAGGTGGAGGCCTTCGTGTCCAGTTGTCCTCCTCCTACAGTGCTGTTATTGCAAGTATGACTCAGCCTCCTGTGAGCAAAAGGTGTGAATCAGGGCCCCAATGATACCAACACAAAGAGGGAGGGAGGGACAAAAACAAGGGGACGTTGAACCCCGCTTGCATTCACTACATTCACATAACACAACACTGGTCAGGTGATGGGGCACATGACCCTCTATGAATAATAGAGCCAATCAAGCCTATTGTTAGGCGATGGCCCTCATTTGCATTTGACTAACCTGTTTGTCCATGTGGAGGCAGTGCTTATAAGGCTGAGTTTCAACTGAAACTCATCAGACTGAAGAAGTCTCTTGGAGGAGAGATGAAACGTTTCACTAAAGAAGAACCCATCCAGAGGACCTACTCATTTTTTCTTTTTGAAAGTCAGAACAGATTTTGCATAATGGCCCAGAGAGGAATAACGTCTTGAGAGACTTTATGTCAGAAAAAAAAAAACTCCAAAATATGTTTAGAACTAGAAATAAAGTTTCTGCTGCCGATCCTTGTTTTTTTAATTCTACCATCAGAGTACTAACCCTGCTTTTTTTATTCCGGTTCAGGACCAACAAAAGTGACACCAAGTTATTTTATTGTATTGATTTGTTTTAGCCACAGGGTTTTTTTTTTTTTTTTTTGAAACAGCAGCAGATTTGCACCGGCAGGATTCAGTTCAGTAGGGTCTGAATGGGAGGGATGCTGCATGAAGAATGGGCATCCTGTTGGTGTTTTGGGACCGGGGAGGAGCCCACGATACAGAAACCTCACTGGAGAGTACCTGCATTTATATCAGTCTCCAAAGATCTCAATAACACAAGAACAATAATCTGAAATTACTTAAACTACTAAAATCTGTTTAAGAACTGTGCAAGGAAGAACATCTGATGGGTCCAGATTTAATCTGTTTGTGTCTACTGCCCACTGTACAAGCCTGGCGGGTGGCAGTTGGTCCGGTCCAGGTCCAGCAACTTTATGAGGTTAGCTGACTACATGAACATACTGACCAGGTCAGGGGTCTGTGGTCAAAAAAATACAAAATGACAAAGTCAGAATTCATCAGGATCAGATTGGGAAAATGGTTCAGGGAGCAGGAAACGGAGTCCAGACCTGAACCTCACTGAGAACGTTGAAGTGGGCTGCAGAAGACTTGTTGCAGAGTTCCGACTCTAATCAATACAAGAGCTCAGAGAAAAATGTAAACTCTGGACAGAAAATAACCGTGCCGTTGCAGAAGCTTGTGGAAACAATGCCACAGTGAGGGTGTGCTGTAACCGGCTGTGGTGTAGTGGTAGAGCAACCGGCTTTGGGACCCGCAAGTCACAGGTTCGACTCCCCGCCATGCCCATATGCTGTTGTGTCCTTGGGCAAGACACTTCACCTGCCTTGCCCACTGATGGTCAGAGGGTCTGGTGGACCCTGTGTATGGCAGCCCCACCTCTGTCAATGTGCCCCAGGGCAGCTGTGGCTACATTGTAGTTTGCCATCATCAGTCTGTATGTGTGTGTGCATGGGTGAATGTCTGTTAGTGTAAAGCGCTTTGAGTGTCCTGGATGGATAGAAAGGTGCTATATAAGTACAGTCCATTTAACTAAAGCTGAAGGTGGTTAGTAGGGGTGCAACAATACATGTACACCCGTATGGAACAATACAGATTTTAAAAATTTACTTTATCAACTTGTCTTCTGAAGATGCTCTGTGTTAAATGATCAGTGGATCTGTGTTCGACTACTCCACCTAGGCTGCATTTTTGAGCGCAGATCCACTGAGAAACTTGCTGTTTCAGCAACATTTAATTTAAAAACTGTACTTTTGAGGTTAAACAAATGTTCATAATTAATAAAAATAAATTACAAGTTAAAAGGGGCATGGAAATTTCTCTTTTTTGTATCGAAAAAATATCGAACCGTGAGACTWAAGTATTGAACTGAACACCGAACCGTGAATTTCCAGTATCTTTGCACCCCTAGTGGTTAGTGTTGGACCATTTGTTTGACTGGGCCATGTATTATTGCTGGACTGATCTGACTGCAACTGGATTTGAATCTGACAAAATGGCCTTTTATATTTTATTTTATTTTCTTTTTCTTTTCTTTTCTTTTTTTTATTTTATTGTGCCCCGAGACAGCTTTTGCTGTGAATTTTTATTAAACTTTGAAACAGTTTTAACAGCATAACAACATTTTACTCAGTTACAGAAAATGGGAAATTAGGGGACTTTGAAGACCTGAAAAATAAATACCAGCCAGAAAAGTCTGATTTTTCAGATACTTACAAGTACACAATTATTTTGAACATATTAAACCCAAAACAGACTTAAATGATCCTATATTAAAACTATTTTGAATGCTTTCAAAAGAGGCCAGCGTTAAAGGGGCTATTTCCAGGCTTTACAAATGTTTGTTGAAAAAAAACCCCATTCCACTAATTCCAATTAATTAAGGTAAAATGGGAAAGAGGCAGCAATATGTCGATGACTACAGATGAATGTTTAAACACATGCGAGTCCTGCTGGGCATGTACTAACTCTCACTCATGGCGTGAGTTTAACTGGAAATGTCTGGTCCTTTTTTATAACACCAAAGCAAAACACACATTACCATTCAAGTGTTGGAGGCTGTGTGGTGTTCAGGGGGCACATCACTGGCATATTTTTTGGGAATGCCCAAAAATAAAACCTTTTTGGGCTGAGGTCCATAAGACTATGTCTGTTATACTCTATAATTATTTACCCCTATGGTTTTTGTCTTTATTTTTTGAGAATTGTGATTACCTGGACAGACGAGCTAATATTTACCTCTGCATGCAAAAAATCTCCTGGGCCTCCCACAACCTCGGATTGGACAGATATTGTAAATGAGATGTATATAATGGAAGCAATTACCTTCTCCACTAGGCTTAAAACAATATTTTCATTAACCTATGGGTGGAATGGGTTAGATTTATAAAGTCTATATAACCAGACTTTGTAGAAGTGGTGCATTAATGATCCTGTTTGAGATTTTTTTTCTTTGTTTTCGTTGTTTCTTCTCCCCCATGCCATAAATAATATGTATATTCAGTAATGCATCCTTTTTATTATTTAATTTCTTTCTTCTTATTTTCCTTCTCTCAAATTGTTCTTAGTTTATACCCGGTTTACATGAATAAGAAAAAAATGACAGCAAATGATCAGATAATATTACAGTTCATTCATTACCTGTAACTATGTATTTCTGAACGAAAAATAAAGAATTACAAAAAACTAACAAAAAAAAACAGTTTTGTCATGGATGATAGAATCCTTTAAATATAAACTAAAACCTGAAAACAGAAATGTCCTTGAGAGGCTGATAAAGAATAAACAGGCAGGTGAGATGGACAGCAGGTTTCATACTTGCAGAGTTCTGGGTCCCAGTCCATTGTGTGAATGTTAAACAGCATGGTTCTGCTGGCGTTGGTCACGTCAGTGCAGTGGACTCCGCCGGATTTGCCTCCAGTTAAACACTGTGGAATAAAAGAGATTTAAAAAAACACACAAAAGTGAGTCATTTTATACGTCTCCGAGATCACTGCAAACTACTGAGGGAGGAGATCTTTCTATACCCAGATGAGCCAGGAGTCGACGGTGCCAAACATGGCGCGGTGAGACACGACAGCTTCATGGACCTCACTGACGTTATCCATCAGCCARCGAAGTTTCACCGCGCTGAAGTAAGTGCTGATCGGGAGCCCTGTTTTATGCTGCAGCGGGACAGAAGAAACATAAACAATGTTATAAAAGAAAAAAAAAAAAACAGGACAAACTGAGGTTATAAAAAACAAAAAATTAGGTAAATGCCTTACTCTTAAATGATTCTTATTCCTTCCTGGAGTTTTATTAATGAGACGCTCCACTGTTGACTGTGTGCGTAGGTCCAGCCACACTGAGGAAAAACACAACAGATCAGGGGTCAGATTTATAAAGGATTGCGTGGAAACCATACTGAAAGTGAATGAACGGCCAAAAGGTGGAAATGGCGTACGCCAAAAAATATTCAGATTTATAAAACAGTGCGTTCACATGTTTCTGCGCATCTTTCATTTATAAATCACAGCCGCACGTCAGAGTTTGYGCACGAGGTCCCGCCTCAGGTTCTACCCTCTACACGCCCACATTCAACCATAAACAGTCAATGCAAAGTACCTCATGAATGTTAAGATGTATTTAAATCAGTCAGCTGATCAATGCCAACAAAAGTGATTGGTTCAGACACACTTTATCGTGAGTCTGGAGGAKGACAGGTGCTGACTGACAGCTGCTCACGTGAACAGATTGTCTGTAATTGACACAGATTTTCCCGATTTTGTAGGTTTACAGACGTTTAGAGTAATCTAATGATTTATTTCAAAAACTCAGCTTCAAATTATTTTCTCTCAGAGCCTGCAGGACGCTAAAAACAAAAATAAAATAAAATTAAATAAGTCAGACAAAGTTAGAAATAAGTTCACCGCTCTTCTCCCCATCCTCTCCCCCTCCTGCCTGCTCTGTTATCTGCGGCAGATCCCCCCCACACGCACACATCCCCACGCGCGTGACAAATACGGACTTTAAAACGTGAAGGTTTATAACATCCACACTGGTGAGGGTGGGCGCGCCCTGTGCACGTACCCAAAGCCTGACTTTTGCTGTCGGGCTGTTGAAATGTCTCTTGTCGGGGAGGGGTCTGTGGGTCAGGGAGGGGTCTGTGGGTCAGGGAGGAGGGGTCTGTGGATCAGGGAGGGGTCTGTGGGTCAGGGTCGTCTGAGGAGGAAGGAGATGAATGGATGTGTGAACTTTTATTTAAGATTTAAGTTTTTTTATTTCAAAGGTCCTCATGGCTCAGCAGCAGAAGCATAAATATTACTGTTAAGAAAGCTAAATAAATAAATAATCTAAGTCTGATTATGAAGGTAAATTAAATATCCGACAGTGATCATTACAGCGTGGATATAACTCCTCACTTCACCATCTGTGTTGCTAAAGTCGCAGTTTCCCATCTCCAAAATGAGCGTACGCATGGGTCAGAGCTGGCTGAGGCACCGCACATTTTTACATCAAGTTTGGATTTTATAAATCACAACCTTGGCATGAAAAGTGACGTACGCAAGTTTCTGGGCTCATCTTGTGCGTACGCCACTTTTATAAATCCGACTCCTGGGCCGTATTTATCAAACCTCTTAGGGTTCCTCTTAAGAATGCTGTTAAGAATGTAAAAGAATTCTTAGCTAAAAGCTGAGCCTAAAAGTCACTTATAAAGTCTCACTTTAAGCAAAGTTAAGAGTAACTCTTAAGTGTCAGTAGAGCTGATTTGTGACACTTTGCTGTGCTGCAAAGCTGATCCTGGATGATGTCGTTACAAAATCCCCAGCATGGACCAATCACTGCCTTGGATTTCATGTTCATGAACATTCTCTGAGAAATGTTGAGATAAAACTGTGAAAATCCTAAGATAAGTTCACTAGTTTCAACACACTAATGTTCATACACGTCACGTTGTACAGATTGTAAATTACATAAAATGTCCTCATTTGCATCACGAACAAGAAAAACTCATTGATTTTTTCAAAAACTCAGCTTTTAAAGTTTTTTTTTTACATCAGAGCCTGAGGAAATGTTGAGCTCCTCCTCCTCTCCACAGACAACACACACACACACACACACACAGCACCACTCAGTCGTTATCTGCTTGGTCCGAGACCCCCTGCATGCTCCATCATTGTATCGTGTGAGAGTAGCCTACTATGGATGTTTTTAAAGGAGACCAATTATGGGTCCTAGAAATGTTTACGGTATGTCTGTGGGTTATCCAGACCATGTTCATTCAATTTAATGCACAAAATAATTTTCAGATAATAAAATTTCCCATTTTCTAGTTCTGCCTGCTCTGACTTCTGTTCAGAACGAGCTGTTTATGTTAATGAGCACTGTTGGTAACGCCCTCCAAAAATCTGTTGACATTAACTCCGCCCTCCAAAGCCAGTGTTTACGTTAGCATGGCTAATAATAGCAGAAGCTCCGTTGTATAACCATATGAGACCCTGTGAGACCCAGAGGCAGAGTCGTGGTCCCAGCTTCTTCTTTTTCTCCCCCTCCTCTGCTCTGCGCTCTGTTACCAGAGCAGGGAGCAGCAGCGGTCAAAATACCTCAGAAACTCGAACAAATAGACTTTAACAAGGCTTTAATAAGCTAAACAATAGAGGTACATGAGAAAATGTGTTCATAATGAACGAAAATAAATAAATAATTAAATTGTATTCATGCCAGCCTCGAACCCTGGTCTCCCACTCTCTGGTCCAACACTCTACCCAATGCCCTATTGGAGACTTGTTATGAAATGAGCCGCGTATTGCACAACAACACCGTGACAGCTCTTTGTACTGAGGAGGAGGAATCTCACCCGGGGGTTGCTAGATAAGGGGCTGAACGCAGGTTGCGGTGGGTTGTCGTACGGCTTGTGACATCACAAAATGACGGAAGTATAAAACTTGTCGTTAATATACATTAAAAATACATTTACTTACAGTAAATATGCCCCTGGGTGCATGTTTTCGGTCCTAGGACTGTTTTTTAAGAAGTACATACCCAAAGTTGAGCAAAAAAAAAACTTTAAAAAGTGAATTTTGCACAATAGGTCCCCTTTAAATCAAATTTACAGAATTCATGACGTTTGAGTTAAAGAAAGAAAAGAAAAGGGGGTAGGAAATCAAGACTTTCAGTCTTGATAGTTTTCCATTCTGTCCAAAAAAACTCACTGAAATATTCACCTTTTGGTCCAAAATGATGGCCCTTCTCTCTTTGTATTGCACGACTAAACCTGTTTTCCACACCTTATTTTAGTTCCTCTGTATAACTGAGAATCACACTCAGGTAGAAGACCCCCTGGACCACAGTCTCTGAGGTGGTGCAGAGTATTCTTGAGGAGTACACAGCTGTGATCTCTGTCCTCTCAGTCCATCTCAGACCCACTTGAGACAACTCTGAACCACTTACGAGTCCTCTGGAAAGTCTGAGAGTAGGAGTAAATCTAAGAAATTCCCAGAACTTAAGTCTAAAATTCCACTGTAAGAAGTTTGATAAATACAGGCCCTGATCTAAAGGACTAAACCACAGCACACTTTTATAATCATCTGTTAAGAGGCAGGACCAGGTCAGTGGGAAAGCTGTTTTTATGCGAGTCAAATCTGGAATTCTGAAACCAAGGAGTAAAAAAGTTAAATGATGCTGATTTGGGGCAGAAATAAAAGGAAGGGTAAACAAGAAGTCCATTGTGACTGCTGTTCAAATACTAAACAAAACAAAACAATGAGCGGCTCGAGCAGAGTTTCAGAATTGTACCGATGGCGTTGTAGAGCGGCTCCCCCGTCTCTTTGTCCCAAACCAGTGTGGTCTCTCTTTGGTTGGTTACTCCAATAGCTGCAAAAAAAAGTAAGAAGCATCAGTAATCTGATAGATATTTAGACCTTACTGTATATTACTGAACAAAAGCTAAATAAAAAAAACAAGCCCGAATACATTGTACACAACATAAAATGTAATAAGTAAGTAAGTGAGTAAAGCTTTATTTATATAGCACATTTCAAGATAGAAATCACAAAGTGCTTCAACAAACACAAACAAAAATAAAATAAAATAAAATAAAATAAAAATAGACAGAGCAAATTTTAACAAACGCAGATTTAAAAAGGTGAGTTTTTAACTGAGCTTTAAACGAGTCCACAGAGTCATCTGATCTTAAATTCAGAGGAGGAGAGTTCCAAAGCCTTGGAGCCACAGACAAAAACACTCTGTCTCCTTTAGTCTTTAATTTTGTCTGAGGAACAATCAGCACGTCTTTCTCACACGACCTCAGAGCCGTGACAGGAGTGTAAAAAATGTAAAAGTTCAGAAATATAGTGTGGTGTCTAACCATGCAGAGCTCGCCAAGTCAAAACCAAAATCTTGAATTTCACTCGATAATGAACTGGGAGCCAATGAAGCTGCAATAATAAGAACAGTAATCACTTGTAAATCTCTTATATTTGTGTCACAATGACATTAAACATGTCAAATATTGAGATATTGCATTACTTTTGTAAATAAGGTAAGTTTGAATTTGATGGCAGCAACAGTTCTCCACACAGCGAGGACAGAAACAACAAAAGTAAGCGATGTCAATAAAAACAACTGGAGGAGCACTTTTACAGCTCACTAGGTCATGCATTAGTGCCTATGGCACTTAGGGCTGTGTATTGGCAAGAATTTGGCGATACGATGCATATCATGACAAAGGGGTCACAATACGATATATCCTGATACATTGCGATAATATAAGCAAGGCGATATATTGCGATTTTTTGGTCCAAAAACTCAAATAAAAACCTATTACTGGGGAAAAAAATGAAAAACCAAAATTCATTGTCTCAGAAAATTCTAATATTACATAGACATACTTTTGATACATTTATCTGTGTTCTGCTTTGTATGTATTTTATTTGTTTCATGTTTCTTATTTCATCCATGTTTTCAATTATCAGACTAAATTTGCCAGTAAATAGGTTGAAAATATATATTTTTGCAGCTTTTAGTTTTTAGTATTAATTTACAATATGGTCACCCAACACTTAATAATAGCCTCTACCTCAAGAGGCAGAGGAGCCAAATGGCTGGCTCACTGCTGCCAACTAGCCGTTCATTTTTATGTTGTAGTTCAGCTTCTGACCACTAGTTGGCAGCAGTGAGCCGGCTGGCTCACTGCTGCCAACTAGTGGTCAGAGGCTGAACTACAACATAAAAATGAACGGCTGGCAGGAAAGTTGACATTTTAAACCTTAATAAAAAATCGATACAGGGCTTTAGAATATCGATACAGTATCAGGAAATGAAATATCGCGATAATTCAATGTATCGATATTTTCTTACACCCCTAATGGCACTGGCAGCTGGGTAGGCACCACTGACGCAGAACCTGTTTCAGAACAGTTATATCAGAGAATCATGTCTACATCTACAACTACTAAAACTCTTCACAAGTTTTCTCATACTCTTGACCCACGTTCGAGGTATGCATTCTGTCTGACTTACATTACTCGTTTGTTTATTCCTCATCACATCACAGTCACGTGTCAGTACGAGCGGTGTGAGCGAATACCTTTAATGTTTGAGATGTCGATGTTCAGCTGCATCAGTTTTTCACACGTGCGCTCCATGCACTCGTACACCGACTGCAGAATCTCTTTGGGATCTTCCTCCACCCATCTGACGACAGGGACAACACAAAAGACAAACCATAAACATACTGTAATTAGTATATGATAAACAAACAAACAGGTGGATGATAAATGAATAATCCTTCCTCTCACCCTTCCTTGGGGAAGCTCTGTTTGATTTCCACCTGATGATGGCTGAGCAGCTCTGCTGTTTTGGAGTTAAACACCTTGGAAATGGAGGAAAAACAAATGTTTAGTTTTACATTTTGTTTATCATCCACAGCAGCCGAGTGGTGCAACTGGAGCTAAAGGTTTGGTGTGGTTGTAGCTGAGCTCCATCCCCAACACATATTTAGAGATCTCACAAAATTTCACAAAACTGCATGAGTCTGCACGTAATCTCACGAGGATTTCATCCTCTCTCATCCTCAAATGAACTCGGGCATAAAAGACACTTTGGAGGAAAGCTAGGTCGATATTTACTTAAATGTTTTCACAACGTGTCACGTAAAGAGTACTTTCAGACACACCTTCAGTCAATATAAATACTCACTGAAACAGCAGGGGGAGGAAACTTGTAGCGCCAACATTAAKCTTTAAAACCTGGCACATGCAATAATGTGTCGTGTTTAAACACAAATCATCAAAACGACACTTCAGGTTAGGTTAAGTGCAGGAGAATCCTACAGAAGCCAACCGATGCTGTGGGCCTGTTTTTGATGACGAACATCCACAAAAACCTTGGCTCTGAACAATCCCCAGGCTTCAGGAGAGGATTTCTCTCAGAAWCCTCTTCCTTACCACACCCAGAAAACGCTCCGAGGCAATCGGCTGAAATTACTTAAGCATTAAGAAGTGATGGTATTGTAAAAAAAAATAAACAATGCAAAATCCAAAACACACAAGCCATGCAAAAGCAGTTCCTAATCTACAACTCTGTCCTGCATATCCACCTGTACAGGTGAGGGAAAGGCTTTTAGCCCAATACAGTGGAGCAAAAAAAAAAAAAAAATCTCCTGATTATATTTCTTACAAAAATATGATCAGTCTCGTGTCAAGAAAAAAAATGCTAAACTTAATTTCAAATCACTGGGGGTAGGGGGAGTATTTAATCCTCAAGCAAACATGACTTTGTACTTCTAAAAACGTGTTGTAAGCTGTTTCTTACAGTTGATCACCAGGTTTTAACACATTTCAGGAGGGATTCTGGGCTCTTCACAAAAAAAAACTAAATCTTTTCATATTTCTTGGCTGCTCATTGACAAGTCAAAGCTTCAGCTCCCTCCACAGATTTTCATCGTGTCTTCAGCGTTTTAAAAAGCTTCAATGCACCGACTGAAAATCAGCATAACGGTGTGGATTTTTGAAGCATCGATTACGACAAAACTAGCTTTTCATTTCAGAAGCAGCAACTGGACCGACTGGCCAAGGGCACCGCCATGATAACCCGGGTTATGACATTTAAAATAACACGCCCAGCTCTGTCTGAGATGTAGCTCACCAAGAACCGAGTGGAGCTCGTCCCCTGGTCGAYAGCAGCAACCAGCGGGCCCAGAGTTATCCGGTGAGAGGACGCGGCCATGACGGTACCGTTCATGGGCAGTCCACCGGAGCTTCGGCTCGCACCCGGTCAGAACCGATTATAACCACGGGTAACAACGCGTTTGTTGGTTCAGCCGGGGGGGGGTGGGCTTGTCGCGGATTTCAGACGTAGCGTTTTGGCTCTTGGTGATGACGTAACTGCTGGAGAGARTTCACAATGTTTCACCCATTTTTTAAAGCATATCAATAAATGTATCTTTAAGGCATGTTTTAATTTTGAGCGAAGATACTTCGAGAGGGAAAGAAAATATAACGAATTAATTAGAGAAAAGGTTAWTTCCCATACCGGGAGTCGAACCCGGGCCGCCTGGGTGAAAACCAGGAATCCTAACCGCTAGACCATATGGGATGCTGTCAACACGATACCATGGAGATAAATTTCACAACAGGTTCACAGTCAGTCATTATCATTGTGTTGTTACAATATAAAACATTGGAATAGTCAGTGTTTATTTCTGTGGCTGAACTTCATAGCGCACTAAGGAACTGAGATAAAGTTGTTTCATTGTCAGTTGTAACCTAAAATGTATGTTTTCATTCATCATCATCAAACTTTTATTACAGACTCAAGGTCCACAGAACAAAGACAAAGAGAAGCAGATCAACAAYAAAATCCAAGAACAAACAAACAAAACAAAAAGAACTATAAAAGACGAAAAAAATTGTATAGGTCTTCTGGACGGGTTCTTCTCTAATGAAATGTTTCGTCTCTCCTCCAAGAGACTTCTTCAGTCTGAGAGTTTCAGGCAAAATTCAGGCTTTTAAGCCCAGCCTCCATGTGACTGATACTCACATCACATGGCTATCGTTGAAACAGTGGCTGCTTTGTTTCCCCGATGTATAACTAGTCGCAGATGCCTGCTGGGCCTTCAGGTGAAAATGAAGACCCCAAACCCAGACCCAAACCAGTGGTTATTCCATATGTTG